ATCGTGAACATATTTCCCAAGAAGTGAGAAGAATAGGAGCGAGAAAATCCGCGTGAAATCGATTTGCGTTCGAGTATTGGAATCCTTGCGATGAAGAAAGGAGTCCTCCGTTGGATTAGAGGACTAGAGCGAAGAAAAGAGAAAATTTTAGAAATGCTTGTCTAAATAGGTTTTTGTAATCGATGTTTAGTGCAAGAACAAGTGTCGTTCAACGTGGATATTTCGGTATTTTAGCAACCTGTTACACTTTCGTCGAAACGTTGGCTAACCAAGCCTCTGTCAACATTGAGTCACCTAGGACCTGGTCTTAGAAGTACTCTAAATGATAAATTTATTTGCTAGGTAGAGTTAAGTCGCTTAAGTATGATTTACTAAGTACACCCTGAGATTGACACTACTGTTTCACATAATGGAAGTATTATGACAATAATAATAATAATAATATTATATATTATTATTATTATAATAAGTATAAGAGACATTTGTAATTATTAAATATTGCGAGACTAATTTTGTCTTCAATTGCTTGGTTTCTGAATTTTAACACTAGAACTACCGATCTTTAGTGGGCACCTAACTATAACGTGCACAGATTATAGTCATTTTCAGCGATACGATGAATATGAGTGAATATATTGATTACAGTTCTTTCTTAATATCAGTTGATACCAATTTTATTCTTAAAGCAGGTGTATGTGTTCGGTGATTGCGAAAAGGAAAATTCTGGTACCAGTCGTTTTCACTGGGTTGGTAGTTCTAGTGTTAAGTTAGACGAAACAGGTTCTACAATGATTAAAACTTTTATCTAGTAATTTATCTAGTAATTTTTTAATTTATAGCCTAATTTTATCAGAAATTTTATCTTTTATGAGAAGACGATAAAAATGCTTCTTATCCTTCATTTTCTGTTGATCTATACGTCACTATGAATTGATCGAAGCATTCTGAAACGTATACGCTATAATGTAGTATAAAAATAGAAACTTCGTACGGTATTTTCTTCTTCTGCATTTAAACGCTAGAAATAGCTTAGTACCAACTCACGACACGTTGTATTGCAACATTTTTATAAATAATCAATGTTCGTATTTTCCTGTAAATTGCAACAAAGACTGTAGTACTCGAGTACGTGTAATAATACGACAACGAAATAGGGAAGTATTTCATAAGTATCTCTTCTTCCTGGTTGAAAGATTATTTTTAATAGCGAGGCTGTGAGATGCGTTATTCAAAACTGAATCATTACAGTTTTCCTTAGTTGTATTTAGATCTCGTCAATAAGAAAATTAAAAGGAAAGCATCAGTCTTGTGATAATGAAGCTCTAGCTACGTGTTTTGCGTAACAATAACGAGCGAGAATGATAATATCGTGATTAGTGCACGTACGAATCAGCATGTAAAATGTAAAACAGTCGTGTTCTAGTCTCTCATTGTCATAATCATCGCCATCGTGTTATAAATGGCGGTCATATCGAACACTTTCCATAACTAGAGCATTATTATCCTCGACAGCTTTCATTAATATATTACACTTCCTATTCTGGATAATCAGACTCTGATTAAAAGGTGTCGATGATGTTTCTGATACAAAGAAATCAATCTATTAACACAACACATATATACAGAATAGATTTTAAAAATTTTTTACATTTTTAAAAAACCGTATATAATATATATTTCAATTAGTATCGAGTAAAAAGAACTAACTATAACAAGTGACTATAATAGTGGAAGCATAAAGTAATAATATTTATTGGTAACTAGAATTTAACTTAAATCCAGTTATCAGGAAAGTAATAGTCTCAAATACCTCGAATTCCAGAATTCACTAGCCAATTTTTACGAAATTACGAATAAAAAGAACTAACTATAACAAGTAAGTACAATAGTGGAAGCATCTAGTAATAATATTTATTGGTAACTAGAATTTAACTTAAATCCAGTTATCAGGAAAGTAATAGTCTCAAATACCTCGAATTATAAAATTCACTAGCCAGTTTTTACGAAATTACGAGTAAAAAGAACTAACTATAACAAGTGCCTATAATAGTGGAAGCATCTAGTAATAATATTTATTAGTAACTAGAATTTAACTTAAATCCAGTTATCAGGAAAGTAATAGTCTCAAATACCTCGAATTCCAGAATTCACTAGACAATTTTTACGAAATTACGAATAAAAAGAACTAACTATAACAAGTAAGTATAATAGTGGAAGCATCTAGTAATAATATTTATTGGTAACTAGAATTTAACTTAAATCCAGTTATCAGGAAAGTAATAGTCTCAAATACCTCGAATTCCAGAATTCACTAGCCAATTTTTACGAAATTACGTGTAAACAATTACTATAATTAATCAGTTATTAATTATCGATAAATCGTCCATTTGAAACTTCGAATGAAAAAGCAAAGAACAGAGCATCTTTAATCTTTTCGAAGCTCACTCACACCGTCGCAGAGAGCCGATCACGCTCCTAGTCGTATTCAAATCGATCTGCATGATCGTTCCGTTAATACACCGCAATTTCCACGCAGAGAAGTATTAATAAACGTGCAACTTGCAGTCGCGTGACCGGCGCAAACACGGCTGAGGCTTGTTTGCACGTGACACGAGACGCCTAAAGCTCGTCGCACACTTGCTCGAACGGAATCGAACGCTTTCAAACCGATTCGGACCCAAAGCCCATTACACGCGATCGAAGTCGCGAATTATTATCTGTCTTAACCTAATAGGGCTAAATTATTGTGCATATTAATCGATTCGATCCTATTCAGAATTACTACGTGACAAGAAACCACTAAAGCCCGACTCACACTTCCTCAAACCGAATCGAACGCTTCCAAACCGACTCAAACAAAAGAGCAATTACATGCAATCCAGGGTGCGAATAATTAACTCTTGCGACCTAATATGCTTACGTTATTATGCGCATCGAATTAACTCCATTCGAATAACAATTATCGCGTAACATAAGGCGCCTAAAGCTCGTTGCACACTTGTTCAAACCGAATCAAACAATTACAAACAATCGAGGTCACGAATAATTGTCTGTTGAAATCGATTATGGTCCTGTTATTATGCACATCGATTAATTCGATTCGATTAAAAATTATCGCGTAACATAAGACACCTAAAGCTCGTCTCACACTTGTTCAAACCGAATCAAACAATTACAAACAATCGAGGTCACGAATAATTGTCTGTTGAAATCGATTATGGTCCTGTTATTATGCACATCGATTAATTCGATTCGATTAAAAATTATCGCGTAACATAAGACACCTAAAGCTCGTCTCACACTTGTTCAAACCGAATCAAACAATTACAAACAATCGAGGTCACTAATAATTGACTGTTGGAATCGATTATGGTCCTGTTATTATGCACATCGATTAATTCAATTCGATTAAAAATTATCGCGTAATATAACACGACTAAAGGTCGTCGCACATTGTTTGTTTGAATAATTCCAAACCAAGTGGAACACTTCCAAACTGACTCGGACAAAGGATTCATTGCGTATGAACACGCCGAGTGTCCCAATTAACGAATAATTAACCACTCGAACCTAATATGGCCCCGTTATTGTGCACACGAACTGACTCGACTCGATCATCGGATTTATTTTGGACTTGCGGTGTGTAACCGGCATAACGTTTTCGCATGCTCCGCATATTATGCATATATGCGTTCGCGTTACGCTAATGCATATGCATCGCGATATCAGGAGACACATACATGCAGGAATAATCGTAACTGGGAAAGACTGAGCGTGCAGTATAGTAAAAGGATCGATACCTGCGAATCCCGAGATCTGAAGTGAACCTACATTCGATGCAGCCTTGATGGGAAACGAATGATAGAAATTGCAATTGTGCTTCACGTGGATTGACTCCCTTGAGACTGATGAATGTTCGAAAAGATTCTTAATACATTGGAAATCCTGGAAAATGAAATTTATAAATTACTATAACGGAGAACAAATAAAATGAGAGAATTATCGAAATGTGGAACGTTAAATTGGGATCTAAACACTAAGGGAAAATTTAATAGTATTTTGTTTAAAAATTAAGATATTATTGAGAATTTAGCGAATAATATTAAAAATATGAATAATTAATCAAATCTTTTTTGGTGATTAACTAATCTATTATCTTTGGAATGATTAATTTTATATAATTATTGAAATGTGAAATGTAAAATTTGGATCTAAACACTAACGAAAATTTTATTAGTATTTTATTTAAAAATTAAGATATTATTATGAATTTAGCGAATTATAATATTAAAAATATAAATAACTAATCAAATCCCTTTTCGTGATTAACTAATCTATTATCTTTGAAATAATTAATTTTATATAATTATTGAAATGTGAAATGTAAAATTTGGATCTAAGCACTAAGGAAAATATTAATAGTATTTTGTTTAAAAATTAAAATATTATTGAGGATTTAGCGAATTATAATATTAAAAATATAACTAATTAATCAAATCCTTTTTCGTAATTAACTAATCTATTATCTTTGAAATAATTAATTTTATATAATTATTGAAATATGAAAAATTAAATTGGGATCTAAACACTAACGGAAATTTTAATAGTATTTTATTTAAAAGTCAAGATATTATTGAGAATTTAGCGAATAATAATATTAAAAATATAAACAATTAATCAAATCCTATTTTGGAATTAACTAATCTATTACCTTTGAAATGATTAATTTTACATAATTAAATAATTAATATTTTTTATTTCTCTTCATCTTATAGATATATTATTATATCTGATATGAGACTTACTTAAAAAGATAATTACTAGTTTATTATTTATAAAATAATAAATTTCAACTATTTTTTTTTTTCATTTTCCTTCAACTTGCAAATTTATTATAATTAATGTTAAACTTATTAACGAAGAAATTAAAATTCGCCGACTTCGCCTATTATCACTCTTTTCAATTTCCAATTATTATCAAGAAAATTATCTGTTTCCAGGTGACTTTGACGAGGAGACGTACAAGCTAATGGCACTGCCAAGGTGTGGCGTTAAAGACAAAGTTGGTCCTGGTTTCGGAAGGTCGAAGCGATACGCTCTTCAAGGTAAATGATTAAACACAGTACTCTAATTCCAAGATAAGACTATACATCAACGCTCAATTTATATCCTCGTTGTTATTAAACGTGCAAATCAAAGTACAGCAATTAATTTCAATTGGAAATAGAATACAGGAAATACACAAGTTTCGCTATTGCAAAGAGAAATTTAATAAAGCAAAGGCGAATTGAAACCACTTTCGCTCTAATGGAATTCAATAAAAATCGAATCGGAGTTTACTAGAACACTATGACATAACAGTCGACCGACTTCTTGATTATCTAATCGGTGGATGTCGTAACAAGATCCAAATTCGTAATAATCGCACCTATCTAATCTCATAAGAATACAGTCCGATTTATATATTGTACGATTACGATGTGTATTAAAATTAAGCGATAGTCGACAACTCTGTACCTAAATATCGAACCAAATTAAAGAAAAAAAGAAAAAATTCATGAATTTTAATGCTGGAATAAAAAGCAATTAGAAATAAAATTTATTTTTATTATTTTACCAACGTATATATTAACCCTTTGTACTCGAGAGACGCCATTTAATAATTAATACGTCAAATTTATTATAATATAACAATATGTGAGATATGAATTGAAATGAAATAATTCTACGTGGTTAATTATTATACGATTTATTATTCACTGCTCAAAAAGATATAGTCAGTTTTATAGCAGAAAATTTTTGAATTTTTACTCTTTTTTAACCAAAAAATCAACCAGTGCAAGGGGATAATTTATTATCTAATTTTAATATTGACTAATTATATAATTAATTAATTTTGAATTGATATAATTAATTGATTTTGAATGTTTACTTTCTTTTTAACCAAAAAATCAACCAGTGCAAGGGGATAATTTATTGTCTAATTTTAATACTGACTAATTATATAATTAATTCATTCTAACCCTGTATAATGATTCTACTAAATATTGATGTTTATTAATATGTGTCTTAATTGTACGTCTTAATTATTATACGATTTCTTATTCACTGCTCAAAAAGATATAGTCAGTTTTATAGCAGAAAATTTTTGAATTCCTATTCTTTTTTAATCAAAATATCAACCAGTACAAAGGGTTAATTTATTATCATTTTTAATATTGCATAATTATATAATTAATTCATTCTAACTTTGTATAATTATTCTATGAAATATTGATGTTTATTAATATTGGGATTGTCACTTGATTGAAAAAAGCTATAAATTAATTAATAAATAATAAATAAAGTACTGAACTTAGAAGTTCAGTATTAAATGCTACATAATTTACAAATTAAATGTTCTGGGAAAAATCATTGCGAAAGAATAGTAAAACAGTTATCAGGTGTTTGGATAATTGTCTTACAATTGTGTTACATTCCAACATTACAATCCAGTGTGACTTTTGACTTCCTGCCTCATTATCTTCAATGTAGAGTCACTCACCCTAAACAGGTTATACGCGCCTGTATCGCACCTATTTGTCCAATGCTCCAAATGCATTCTTTAACCATTGCAATTATTCCAGATGCATATCTTACAAGGCTTTTTCAGGCTTAATATTATTACCATGCTTCATCTATTTTTATCAAGTGATTAGATATCATATTTATTATAAATGATAATTTGTCTTTCCTTCAAGATAAATCAATTTTCATTTATCAAACAGGCACAGAAATATCTAATATCATTTTCTTTGATATTACTTAGAAACACTATTATTAGTATTATCTTATAACAAATATTCATCTGAATCATAATTAAACTATCAAACTAAATTATATACAAATATATATACATACATAATCTTATTGGTAAAGATGGAGTAATATTTTCAAAAAATTAAATTGACCCATAATAACATATTAATCCAACATTGACCCATAAACTAGACTAAAGGACACAGTTGAAATTATAAATAATAATTTGTCTTTCTTTCAAGATAAATCAATTTTCATTTATCAAACAGGCACAGAAATATCTAATATCATTTGCTTTGATATTAATTAAAAACAGTATTATTAATATTATCTTATAACAAATATTCATCTGAATCATAATAAAACTATCAAACAAAATTATATACAAATATATACAGATCTGTTGATAAAGATGCAGTAATATTTTCAAAAAATTCAATTGACCCATAATAACATATTAATCCATCATTGACCTATAAACTAGACTAAAGGACACAGTTGAAAAATAGAGCAATTTCATACTATCCTACGTCACTAAGAATTCACTGTAAAAATCTCATTTCCAGTTCCACGAAAACGATTAAAAATCGAACTTTTTGCCAGCCTAGTTCCAGCAAACATGACACCAAGTCACGCTAATTGCCCTTTGACCAAGCGTCACGCTAATTAACTCCGAGCAGAGAGAATTCGCGCGAGCCTACCCAATCAACCACGGCCATAAGTCGTACACCGTTTCCTTTTCACTGGATCCGTTCTTCTCGGAAGAAAGTGACCGACGCTTGATTCACTGGCGTCCAATCACACCTAACACGCGCAGCGGTGCAATTCACCAGGGAAATCATCGAGATCCGATCGATCCTAACCGTGACTTTGAACCTTGCGCGAGCAGTTGCCGGTTTCAGTGAACCCACGGCAGCGAGATCACCGATGCGTGCATCCTATGGAAGTCCGTCGCGTAACAGCTCTCTAGCTGTGACCCAGTAGGTCGATCCTGGGCCAAACAGAGCTGGTAGAAAACTCGCTGTGCCCCGAAATCGCCACCTTTTCACAGCGAGGGGCCATTCCTAGGGAGACTCGTTTCAATGAGCGAGCAGAGTTGAAAGAGAATGAACGCGGAAGGATCTAAGCTTCGACGAGTTTTGCTCTCTAATCACGGAGATGATGTCGTTAGTTAACCTTGGCTGGTGGAACCTTGCTGCTGGATCTGTCGTTTGCGAGAGATAATAGATCCGTAATACGATGACGAGGCGATCTGTTGGGTAATGAGCTTCTTCTTCGCCACACGTCGGTTATTTCTGCATCGAGATCTCACTGTGCATCGTTTCCAACCTAAAAGAAAAATTTCGTGTCAGTTTATCGAAAAATTAGAAGAGATGCTAGGGAATTTGTACTTACCATGGTATTGGGATAAATAGGGTATTTTGATTCTGATGGTTTCTTCTGATCTCACATTTGGTCATCTTGAATACACGCTGAGTCTGTATCTATGACAGTGCTTTAACACTCTGTTTCATTTGACCTCTGAAAATTGGAAATGAAAGAGAAGAAAGAAAAATGAGAAATGACAGCAACTTGCCTTTGAAAGACTCGAGATTATAATATATACATCTATAGTAAATTTATTACAAACATTATTGTTAAAGGGGTTATTACGCAAGGAATAGTAGTCAGTGAAAACTGTGGAAAAACTGTGTTGATCTTTATTGAACGGGCGAATGGTTAGAACTGGAAAGTTCAAGGCCTCGCAGGTCAAAAGTCGTCTTCAGAAAACTGGTGACAAAAGCCAGAACACTGGGGGAAGGGATCGCCCCCACACCGCTGGAATGTAGAGTTTGCTTCACTATTGAATTTTACCATAACAATTATTGGATCACAAAAGTGTTCGAATGCAATGTATAACAATAATCAAAAGCTTGATTAGATAAAGAATAAAAGGTTTCCTTATTTTGCTAGTGTGATAATCCCAAGATTTACCTTTAAAAGATTCGAGATTATAGTATATACATCTATAGTAAATTTATTACAAATATTATTGAATCACAAAAGTGTTCGAATGCAATGTATAACAATAATCAAAAGCTTGATTAAGTAAAGAATAAAAGGTTTCCTTATTTTGCTAATGCGATAGTCCCAAGGCGATCTGCCATTTAACTCACTAGCGCCACCACGGCCCGTAACTTAGTAAATACTCTGCCTCGGTTGGTCTCCATGTATTCTCTCACTGTTTTCGTTACCAGATACAATATAATTTTATTTGTAAGTGTGATCATCCAACTAACAACGAAAATTAGACCAATCCATCTTTGCAATTGTATTTAAAGAAGCTAACCTAACATTATGACCAATCAAAGCCGAATTCGTTCCAATTACAAACTTTTGAACTGCACACGATAAAAGTAGGAATAAATGGAGTAGAACAATGAGAAACTGTGTAATGGATTTTTTGAAGTGTCTAGAATGAAACAAGTGCAAAGTTTATCGCGTTTGGTATGAGTTTTAACTTCACGGCGCGTTGCTATGATTAAGGGGGGTGAATCAGCATACTTGATTGGGAAAATGATGGATTACCAACGACTGGGGAAATAACATTTTGATGATTCTGAGAGTAGATTAGATACGTCGAAGATGAATGGAACCGGACGACGTCCCCATAATAAAATTCTCTGCGTTGGATAGACGGGTGCTTACGTTTAAAAATAAATCGTTGCACAAGGGATAAATAAGACAGTAGTGCAATGATTGCCACGTGTAGAAGTTACATAAAGGAACTTCACAGAATTACCAAGAAGTTCGCCATGAGTCTGCTGGTAGTCTTTAACGCGCTTAGCATCGAATCAATATTGTATAAGTTTCTTCGAGAATGAATAATAATCCGATATATTCCTAGTTGTGTATTAAAAATACATATTTTCGATCTATAATAAAATTTCAATCATTAAAAATCATTAAAATTTCAATCATCTCATAGATCATCATCTTCCAAATAATTATATTTCTTAATACATTTTCTTAAGAAATATATTTCTATATTTCCATATTTCTTGAAGAAATATAATTATATGTAAAATATATAATAATATATAGTATTATAAATTTTATATAATATTATATACTGCATTAAATGTAAAATATGTGATACTATATATTTACATATTTATATATATGTTACAAATTTATATATACATTTACAAATTTGTATATATGTTACAAATTTGTATATATGTTACAAATTTATATATATATTTACATTTCTTAACACATTTTCTCAAGAAATGTATTTATATATTTCTATATTTCTTGAAGAAATATAATTATATGTAAAATATATAATAATATATAGTATTATATACTTTTATATACCATTATAAATTTTATATAAAATTATATACTGCATTAAATGTAAAATATGTAATACTATATATTTACAAATTTATATATATATATATTTACAAATAAATATATTACAAGAATATTATATACTGCATTATATGTAAAATATGTAATAGTATATATTTACATATTTATATATATGTTACAAATTTATATATATACAAATTTTTGAAATTGAAGCTACAAAATGATACAGAAAAATTGTAGTATCGTTGTATTACACACGAAGCATGGCAAATATTTTTCCAATTCTTTAATGCATCGTTCATCGCTTTTACAGGCTCGAGATGGCGCGTGAAGAAATTGACGTACAAGATCAGCAAGTATCCGCGAAATTTGCCACAGCACAAAGTCGACGTCGAGTTGAACAAAGCGTTCAAAGTGTGGTCGGAATACACGGATCTCGTTTTCATTCAAAAGAAGTCGGGTCAGGTGAGACGAATAATATTTGTCGACATTTTTCACGATTATAAGCAAAAGAGAAGAAGCCGAGAGCACAGTCTTTTTAAGGAACCCGTAGCCAAAATCCTCTGCTAAAAATGCATGCGTTGTTGCTGATGGTGACTTTGGTATAGTCTTAACGTTGCTTGTTTTTCGTGGAACCATTTGTGCTTTCGATCATAACATCTCAAAGTCACTGGAACTCGGCCAATTCCATAAGATAGTTACTTCTTGAATCGCAGCTGCTGAAAGAACAGTAATTGTATTAGATATAGAATGAAAACTATTATCAAGTATTATAAAAAAATATTGCATACCATAAAGAAAGTTATAATGTTATTCATAAGTATGGAAATGGCTCTAGAAATGAATGAAAAAAGAATTGACATACTTAGTTCAATGTTAAATATTTTAGATATAACTCTTGCTATAGTATTAATATTAGAAGTATTAATCTAAAATGAAATATATGATATGATATATTAAATGTATGATGAAAATAATTTTATATATATATATATAATTACGTTACTATATTTTAAGATTAATTTTATCAAAAGTAGGTGTACATTTTTATATATTTATATATAAAATCTATAATATAGTCTATAATAATCTATAATAATATAATCTACTTCCCTTTGTTATTAACTTACACTCTAGGGATACCAACAATGTTCCTATTTAAATAAATATAAATTAAAATTGGAATTCACTATACATCCTCCATTTTAAATTGTACTCTATATTACTAGCTTTGATATATTGCATTTATAATGCTTGATAAATTTTGATAATGTTAGGAATAATGTAACTCAAAATTTGTAGAATATTTAATTAATCTAATAATAAGTAATATAAATAATAGTAGAATTTGAAATAAGTCGAGAGAACGTTTCCCATAGTAATTTTTAATTCACTCCTTTTAGGTCCATATTGAGATTAGATTCGAGAAAGGGGAACATGGAGACGGGGATCCTTTCGACGGACCTGGTGGCACTTTGGCTCACGCTTATTTCCCTGTGTACGGTGGTGATGCCCATTTCGACGACGCAGAACAATGGACCATTGACAGCTTCCGTGGCACGAATCTTTTCCAAGTAGCCGCTCACGAGTTTGGCCATTCCCTTGGATTGAGCCATAGCGACGTTAAGACTGCCCTAATGGCACCCTTCTATCGCGGCTACGAACCCTACTTCACGTTGGACGACGATGACATTCAAGGCATCCAGGTAAATACTGCAATACAGAAATCCATTTAATGCAACAAACTAAATTAAATTATTAATTAATATTAAACTATTAATTTATATTAAATTATTACTTAAGTAATAAAACCGATATAATATCATAAAAAAAATATATTATATTTGAGAAAGAGAAAAAGTACAAAAATATTTCGCTTCTACTCTAGGCCCTGTATGGAAAGAAATTAGTAAGCACCGGTGGTATTCCAAGCGGACCAAGATATACCACCACTACTTCGCCACCTAGCGAAGAGGACTCAGAACTATGCACAGATCCGAGGGTCGATACTATGTTCAATTCTGCGGAGGGTCACATGTATGTGTTCAAGGGTATGTATTCGTCGGCTCTGCGATGAGAATGCATGTGTAACATAAAAGAGGAAGTAGAGTCAATTGACTAAAGGAAAATCCCCTTAACAAAAATGGCCATCTATTGTGTCTCATTCTATGGAAGTTGTAAGACATACAGGAAGTAAATAGAATACAAATTGTCTTAGGTAAAAGATACGTAGGAAGATAAAGTAGAAATCTGTATTCTAAAGAAACACGTGTATGAAACTTCTGTAGATCATGTGTAATAGGTTAGTAATACTAATGTATAGTAATTTAGTAATACTAATGAATATGTAGGTAATATTAATTCGAAAGAAAAGAGGAAAACATTTGTTACGTGTTTTAAAAGAGCTTTTACTATAGTTAAATTTATAAACTATATTTTTAACTACAGGTGATCGGTATTGGAGATTAACAGCAGATGGCGTGGCAGTCGGCTATCCCAAGTACATTTCGCACTCGTGGAAAGGACTGCCAGGGAACATTGACGCTGCTTTCACCTATAAAAATGGAAAAACTTATTTCTTCAAGGTACGAAAATTTACATAGAATACCCCCTTTTATAATTTTTACTTTTGGTAAAAACACGTTGCGAGTTTAATTCTGTAGATTAGTGGATGTAAATAAAAATGAATTACTTCGCTGCAGGGCTCGAAATACTGGAGATACGTGGGCAAGAGAATGGACGGAGACTATCCCAAGGAAATCAGTGAAGGTTTTACAGGGATCCCGGATAATATCGATACCGTGACCGTTTGGACCGGAAATGGCAAGATCTATTTCTACAAGGGCACCAAATTCTGGAGGTTCGACCCTGCCCAGAAACCACCTGTAAAGAACACGTATCCAAAACTGACTTCGAACTGGGAAGGTGTCCCGGACAATCTGGACGCCTCGATCGTCTATCGTGGTTACACGTATTTCTTCAAAGGAAATGCCTATTACCGATTCAACGACAGGACGTTCTCGGTAAATACTTAGGAATAATATTTTTATATATTTCTCACGGTTTAAGACCAATTATCAATAATATTGATAATTATGATATAAAAATAATGTTTTCTTTTTGGAATTTGAAATTTCTAATTATGAAGAAAATACTTTCGAAAAAAATATTTTTATATTACATAATAAAAATCTAAAATTATTCATTATCAATGAAAATAAATGATAATATCGAATAAAGTAAAGTGAAAGAGGGTAAGGGGAAAGAAACTATCTATGGTCAGCCATGTTCCTAGCCTAAAAACATAATAGCTAACGAAATACTTAATAGTATTTTCTTGAAAAATTGAAAATTGATGAAAATACGCTCTAAAAGGAATATTTTTATATTACATAATACAAATCTAAAATTATTTATTATCAATGAAAATAAATGATAATATCGAACAAAGCAATGCGAAAGAACGTAAGGGGAAAGAATCTATCTATGGTCAGCCATACTCCTATCCTAAAAACATAACAGCTATGGTTGCATAATTTTACACTAAAATATGCAAATTGTTCTAACTCCCTACTTTAACTATAATTCTAAATAATAAATTTGATCATATTTTTACCCATTGGAAAGAAACCATAAAACCACTTTTTAATCTTGTTAAAAATAGCAAATGTGGAAAAGTAATCTCTTTATGCTATTAATAGTGCCTTTGCACTATTTTCACGAGTCTGACTCGTGATGAAAATTTTAGGCCAAACTTGAGTATCACGAGTCAGGCTCGTTGTTTGATTTCATGCCAAACGTGAATATCACGAGTCTGACCCGTGATCGACATATCGGACCAAACATAAATATCACGAATCTGACTTGTGATCGACGTATCAGGCCAAACATGAATATCCCGAGTCTGACTCGTGGTCTTAATCTCGGGCCAAATTTTCCGAGTTTCAGCGTAGTGCAAGGGACTAATGCAAGAAACGAAAAATTAATTATAAAAATGATTAATTATTTAGAATGGAAGAAGCATGATTCAGTTGATTAAACTTTATTAAATATTATTCAGGTGGACGTTGCTGAGCCAGCATTCCCTAGATCGACGGCCTATTGGTGGTTCGGGTGCAGATCAGCAACCAAGGGAACGTTAGGTAATGTCCAATGGCTACGCGAAAATCCTGAGGATATTTTTCCGCATGCCATGCTGGAATCCTCTGATGGTTACGAAGACGATGACAAGAATGGTGACGTCGGCGACATCATTTTAGACGCAGGTACTAAAGCTTCATTCGAGCCAAACCAGATTCTTACCTCGCCATAAAAATGTTCCACGATATCCACTTCTTTATGATCAGAGTACTATCGTATAAAATATGTAATATATATATGTATATAGACACTTAAATATTAGTACACCTAATTTTTATCTTAATTTTACGTAGAAAATTTCAAATACAGATCATTATTAATATTTCTGTAAATATCTATATTAATCATTTCTATTATAAATTACTGTAATATATCTCTTTCAAACTTTCTCTTTTAATGTCTTAGATAGTACTGTACATATTTTGTAATAAATTCGAGTGCATTTAGTCATAATTCTTATAATTTATGTTTCAAAGTTAGCATTAATAAGATTGTACTGTGATCTTTCTAGTAGTGGATGGTTGGAACTTATTTCACTATTACACAAGGATCTGAAGTGGTAATACGCAAATTACAAAAGGCGAGGATACAGTATTTGGTGTCTCGAACACCTGGCTATTACATACCTAGGGCTTATAGTCATCGAAGAAATTTGTGCATGTAATAAAATACAATAACCATGGAGAAATTTAGAGAAATTGAACAATTTAGAGAAAAATCGTCTTTGTCGAAATAACAAAATACGAAACACATCAAACGATATTTAAAAAATACAGTTTAAATTGTAGTTTACAGTATGACGATCAACAATCTTTCATTCTTGTTAGGACACTCGTTATTCAACAGCTCTTCCACATTCAAATAGCCAAAATTATCACTAGACACGCCACTCTAATTTTAATACAACACGCTACACAATATCTCGTAATTCATGTTTCAAACCATTAACTTACAATGTGAAGTCACGCTCGTCATGAAAATTACAATACAAAAATGACAGTGAAATAACTCGGGAATATTAAGGCATTTATAACGAATTGCAATTATTTGCATGTATTTTAGTATTTTTTATGAACTGGTATTTAAATAATTCCATACTTAATATAAATAATTCTATACTTATTAAGTATAATTAATAATTGGTATTTAAATAATTCTATACTTATTAAGTATAATTAATGATTGGTATTTAAATAATTCTATACTTGTTAAGTATAATTAATTATTGGTATTTAAATAATTCTATACTTAATATTAAAAAGCAATGGATTGAAATATAATTTATGAACAACAAACACATACAAAAATTTTGAATTTTGTCAGTCATTATAACACAACACAGTGATTCGAATGTTAATATAAATAATTTGCACAAACTTCTTCGGTGAATATGTTTGAAAACGTGGTATTTAATTTGGCATTTTAATTTGGGTATTTCATGGTGGAGGTATTCACATCGAAAGTAAACAATATTTTGTATACTTATTGAATCATCCATATCATGGTACATATAACATACGATTAATTTGCTAACATATTCGTAAGATTGCTTTAATACATCATTGACCGTACATTTTCATTAATTCTACATTAAATGGTATCCGCACATGGGCAGAAATATTAACATAAATAAATTTTAATTATTTAATTATTGCTTTAATAATATTGGGATTTTACAATATTCATGAACACAGTACAAGAGTAACGTTATAATAGAATATATTTTTCTATTATTTAGGAATTTAATTTGCATTATTAAAAATTGTATACCTTATTTTTGCCAATGTGCAAAATATTCACTCAATCTCATCCTTATCAAGCCTGGGATGACTTCCATAAAATTTAATATTGGAAATTATCTGGAACTCCTGCAAAATAAATTTTATTAAACATTATATTAAATTTGATTAAACGTTATATCAACTGAAAATAATAACGTCAATTAAATATTAATTTTCTTAAATAATTAACAGTGACATTAGCTTCGCGATTCGTCGTTTCCGTTGAAATACCGGAAGTCCTCCTAAGGTTACATCCATACAAGAATACATCTTCTTTGTTTCCCAAACTTTAAACAAATTGTTAAAAAAAAAGAAATCATTTCGGGAATTATATTCGCATGCTTTCCGAAGCCCAGAGTATTTATTAGCCAGGCGGGAAAAAATGAAGTTTTATATATCCGCCAAAATGGTTGAACTAGAAAAAAAAAATAAAAAAGAATAGTATCTCCTATTCGTGTGTTAGCTACGAGAAAGGGATAACGTGAAATATCGTCTGTCACCATCACTGGATCCAGTTTGCTGAAAACAGTAAATATTACAACATTAAACTTTCCCTATTTGTCACGTTTTTCTTTCTCTTATTATTTCTTGTTGCTTATTCACGTGACTGCATCTGACTACAAATTACTTGTAGTTTGTCTAAGTATTAGTTCACTTCTTGCTGTGTTTGTCTCCTATCTTCACCTATTTTATATTTCAATATTTTTATTTTGATTCGAACTTCAATTTATGGGCGTGTCACACTCCCGGCACTCACTTTTGGTGATAACCTTGCATCATTTTCTTTGTCATGCACACGAATTTCGCTTTTATTTCACTAACATAATGATCATATCGTTTAAAGCAGAATAATACCATTTTCAGCTGCTTTTTACTATATAAAAGATTATGTGAAATAATTCATTGTTACTGCTTTGAACAGCTTTAAATAATTTCACGAACAGAATAGAGTTTTATCAAATTCTTAAATCAGGCCTGTCAACACTAGCAGCTCTAGGTTAGAGCACTCCGCCTGCTTCGTTTCCCGCGAAATATTAAACGCGGCAAGAGAAACGTTGCAGAGAGCGCCATCTGTGGACAGGCCTGTGAAGTTGAACCACTGTGTGGCATGACGATTAATTCATTGATAATATTGCACGAATTTCTGCATATACTCGCGAAGGATGTATCACTGCACGAACGCATAAAAATATCCGCGTATGTACACGTACACGCGTACATGCAAGCACGAATCTCTGCGCAAAAGTATGAAGCAAACAGGTGCATGGTAAAACTATCCGGAGGACGGTTACGTTGTTTGGAACTTAATCTATTGCAGGACAATATCTATTCCTTTCCCTGCCTCTAACCGGAAATGAATAAAATCAACCTTAACCTCCATTTCCTTTGTCTTTCTTTTATGTTCTTTTTCCTTTGAATTTTCTATTCTGTATCTCATTACACAGTTACACGTACATATACACACACCTTCACGTGCACGTACTTTTGTTGATCTCTCTTACACGTACAGTTTATCTGCACGAGCATTATATTTTTAGTTCTAATAATTTTATATTTCAAGGAATCATTTGGTATAGGGCATGTTGTATTCTCATTTCCTTTTGCACTTACTTTTTTTATTTTCGGGTTGATTTCTGTTGGTAAGGTCTATGTGGAAGTTGCTAAATATTTACATATGTAAGAATGTATCTCTTAACACTCTGCATTCCATAATATTTCTTTTCGTAATGTACTTTTCTTGAAAAAATAAGATTAAGAATTAAAAAAGTAAGATTTTCTTTCTGATTGAATAAATAATATGAAATTTGGAAAATTTTAATTCTAATTCTATGCATATATATTGGTACATATGCAGAGATATTTTAATTAATAAAACAATTTAAATTTTAAAGTAATAAATTTTAAGATAAAAGTAAAATATATTTTATATTAAAGATTTTTGTGCGCACTAAGAGTACAGTAGTATTGTTTTTTCTACAAATATTAAAAATATAGATATCCTAACTTATTTCAAATAATATTTCTTTTTTTTTAAAATTTGAATATAAAATAAATTTTCAATGCAAAATTATAAATTCGATTTTACAATAAATTTGTACTTTTTTAGAAATTCTTTATATAACTATTTCATATAATCAGAAAAAAATTATAAAATTCATAATTAGCAAAGTAATTAGCTTTCCATGATATGACTGATATTTTCAAAAATAATATTTATCTTTAATTTAAATAACTTTTCAGACACATTCGATTTTTGTTAAAGCACACTTTCTGTTTGACGTTTCGACAACATGCAGATACAAATATAAACTGTTAAATAATTATACTTTATTCCTTCAATCTTGATCCGCAGTAATAATATAACAAGGTGAAATTGTTCAATTTTCTGAAGCATGAATTTTGAAAAACTTAAAAATGACGGAGATAATAAAATGTACAGAAGCACAAAAATCTTGAAACTTAACGATCTTGTCGTGCATTGTAATTGGCAGAAAATTTACAGTCAAAATTGCCGCTCTGGCGACATATTGTGACGTAATACGATGCTGACAAATTTCGTGATGAACGATCAAAGGAATTGCGGTTTACGCGCGATGACGAACAATCACAGTTCCATTAACCCGAAAAAACTGGCTTTTCCAGAAGACAACAATCTGCACTATGAATCGCGCGGGTGCGGAAAAAAGTGAACGGACGAGAATGAAAACTTGTTCGTTCGAGGAATCTCTCGTTGAGTCGTAAACTCGGGTTAGAAGGCAACAAAATGGGACAACAAATTTTCAAGGGGAAAATATCGTAAAATCGGGATTGCGAGACACAGAGTTCACAAGGCAGCGTTCCGGTTAAATATAAGTTCCAAACAACAACAACAGCCTGCAATTATAACCTACATTCGACTTCTGTTGTTTCACGCGCGAAACTGTGTTAAGCGTGCTCGGTGCAGTGAACCATCCAATCAGCGACGATTCTCTTAGTTTGCATAAATTCCCTACGATTTTAATAAAATTCGACAGGCGAAACGGACGAGCAGCTAGTCACGTCTTCCAATCAGGATGCGGACTCTGCGGCGGAAAGCATTGCGTCGTTATCGTGGTACCTTCCACTCAGTTTGATGACCATGATCATCGCTAAAATTATTGCCACTACATAAAACAGATGAATTATTTGTTGAAGATCATAAAGTGATGCTATCATCGATAATGGGATATTCAATAGAAATATTTAAACGGACCATTAAAACTGGGAAAGTGTGACTCAAAGTGTATTGTACACGAAGAAGGGAAACTGTGCCAAAAATGGCAATGTGCTAATCGAAGCTCACGAATTATGGATGGTAATTCTTTTCGACGTCAACGAACAAGCTAGCAAAATTTTGTTCGTTATTTTGTTCATTTTAATCTCTCATAAAAGAATCATTCCAAACGAAGCAACATAGCGCGTATAGTTGTTCGAAGTGTGCTTCATCATAGGTATAAGTATTTTCCACAGCATGTTTTATAAGATGTAGTTTACTTGACGATTTTATGTTCCGTTATTAATCGACAAATTCGATGTATCTTATGAAACATGCTGTACATATGTAAAATATATAAGAACATGTAAAATATGTTTATACGTAATATTATAAGTCTCATGCAATGTTGTGTCATCAAATCTTTTACACTGCCTATTTATTCTTTATTCGTACATCGTGGTTTGTATAAACATTAATGTTAAAGGCACTTACTTTGCGTATTCATGCAGGAGATATTTGAAAAAGAACTGAAATATGCTGTAACATGACAAATAGCGGATAAACAGTCAATTGGTGGCTCTGACAGTATTATGAGTATTATAGAATTTTCATTTTCTTTTTCTAAGAATGTAAATACTTCTCAGAATGTAAGGAAATGCACAGGATTGTAAGAACATCTCAAAAGCTTAAAATTATAGGTTTATAAATTGCTGAATTAAAAATCAGAAATATATGAAAATATCTATAGTACTCGTAATAATGACTGTATCAAAAAAATATTTATCTTCCGTACAAGTGCCTTAAAATGTTCTGAAAATATTGTAATAAAGTGCAGCTTTCTTATATAAGTTTCTATAAATTTGTTGTTATTATTTTTTATTACTTAACAGCAGTTGCTAATTATCTTTTCTTTTTCCATTCATTTGACAGAATTTTGATTGTCTTAAACAAATTTCTATATTTTATTTCATCATGTAGTAAAACCGTAATAAATAATGTTGATAATAGTTACATATTAAATTCTGATGACCATGTTATAAAATGTGAGATTTAATGTAGAGAAAAACAACAATTTTTATTATTTTGAAAATAATAATTATTTGTATTATGCTTTTAAACCAAAATGACATAAAAGGTAATAATGTATAGTGTATGTATATGCACTGTATAAAATATATGTATGCTATGTATTGTAAATACTTTTTGACTCTTACCTATTCTACATATGTTATTCAAATATCTTACTTAAAAATTGAAAGCAATAAAAAGGTATTAAAAATTGCAATAAAAGTACAAATAGTATTTACAATTCATAGTATACATGTATCCTTACAGTACCATTAATGACATTACCATGTTTCTTTACATTCTAAGAAATGTTTTCATAATCTTGTTATAAATAAATAATTAAGTACTTAAGAATGACTTAGCATTTAAGGACTAATAAAGCACAAAAAGCCTTGTACAGTTTTTTAATATTTGTTAAAATAAATTGTTTTTCCAAAGAAGGATATAATACAACTAAAAATTTTATATTACAATAGTATTTGAAAAATTCAAATGAGAAAAATATTTAATACGTGAATAAGACAGACATTAAACGCCGTACAATGTACAAGGCCTTTATTTGTGTTAGATCTTCTGTCAGGGCACTAAAATGATTCATATTGAAACTTGCCACATTGTGCTATGTCCTGACATTGTACAGTATCAATAAAAAAATATATGTTCATTTTAATTAACGCTTATTTTAAAAATTAAGTAATTAAAAATTAAACATCTGATCATTACCAAATTATTTTTATTAGTTAATATTTTACATTAAAGAAAAGAAATTTTAATAAAAAAATATATAAAATTATTTATATTAAACATGTATTGTCAATTTTATTAAGATCTGTCCTTCCCTTCAATTTTAATTAAATTTTTATCTAAGGTAGTTTCATATCTTAAAAGTTTAGAATATTCTCTAAGAAGTTTTTTCCAAAATTGTGTGATATGAGATATCTTTAAGTTATACCATATAAAATCTCTTCCACGATCTGCAATTCTTTTTGAAAGTTCATCATTATCTATAGCAAATTGTATCAATTCTCTGTAAATATAATATATGAAAATAATAACACTCCTAGAAAATATATACAAAAAACATTATTTTAACAGTGATCATAATTTAGATAATAATAACTTAATTATTACAATAATAACTTACTCTAATACTGTTTGATTAGCTTTCTTGGAAACAGGTATATAATGTATCCAAGGTATCATTGCATCATAATAAAACTCAGTCCACTCATCTCCAACATGAAATACTAAAGACCGACACAAAAATAAATGTTTGTGTCTAAATGATGCTGCAACACCTCTATAGTTGAATAAGTATTTGTATTTACAATGTGCATCTAAAGGAACTTCAGAAGCTGCAGGTGCATATAATGTATCCTACAATAACATGCAAAATTATCCCATATGTGTAAACATACGTGAAAGTGTGAATTAAAAATTATTACTTCATCAGACTTCCATGCTTGATTTTTTGTATATTGAGCATCCACTAAATTTGATTTCTTGCGACTTAATAATATTAAATTATCACGCTCTGAACTTGTCCTAGACCCCCGAAAGAATGCTTTATTTTCCTTTCTTTCCCATAATGTACTTTCACTAGCCTTATCTAGAGATACACAATGTTTGTCCCACCTCCCAAGGCCACGGGGATACAAAGAAATTGCAGGTCCACCTTCCCAAAATGCCCATGCTGGATATGTAATATCATAATATTGTGGAGTCTACAAAGATATTTCATAACACTTAAAATTTGTTATTAATATATTAAATCAATTTATAAAATAATTCTAAATACATGTAAATAATAAATTTTGAATAATTTTATTTACCTTACTAAATGAGAAAATAGGTAAAGGATTTCCAAAATGTTTACTTGATTGAGGATAATCTCTCACGTTTATAACTAAATCCATATTTGATAATCCAGAAGCAAGTTTTAAAAGAAAGTATTCTACTCCAGCACATCTTGAAGGAAACATACAATCTTTTTGTCTATACAATTTTCCTTCTATTATCTGGTAAAAGGTTCCTCTGTTAAAAACATAAAATTTATTTAAAAAGAAAAATTATTGTGAAATGTATAATTATTCGTTATACATACCTAACTTTTGCGTTATCTATTAAATTCTTATTGATACCTTTCTCTTTGAAAGGTTTCAAGTCATTTTTAATAACTTCTTTAAAACAACCATTGTAGGTATTGTTACAAATCTTATAACTTTTCTCTGCTTCTTCAATTTCATTATAATATTTACTATATTTATTGTTTAATACTAATAAAAGAAGATTATAAAAAACATTAGATAACAATAATCAAACATGACACGTACAAATACCTTTGTTATAACTATTAACTTCTTTTTCTTCAGCACAGTGTTCTTTACTATCAATGGAACAATGTTGTTCTTGACAGTGAGCGACCCAATAGGCCATTATTAAAAAAATATAATTTAATACTAACACCTTCATTATAAAACAACATGACCGTTTTAAAAAGTATAAACAGAAGAGATTAAAAGCCAGTGGTTGAAACTAGTGACATCTACAAAAGCCAAAACTTAAATATATATAAACAAAATATTATATTGCTCTATCTTAATTTTAAAAAGTTTCTGATACTATCTTTAATAATATTAATACACACCAAAATAGATCAAATATTTTCTCCTTTTTTGTGTTTCATTTTCCGGGTTATTTATAGCCCGATTATCATTTTTGTGTTACTCGCAACATTGCCGACAGAGTATCGAAATCGATTGTAGTGCTCAATAATTACATTTCCGTATAATTTGGTGAACTATCAAGGAAAAATGGAAGAAAATTTCCTTCATAAATATATTTACTAACAGTTTTACGGACGGAACAAATAAACAATTGGATTTCAAATTTGTATTCTTCATTTTTCCGTTCCATACTAATATTCCGTACTATATTATACCATAAAATATATCTTGTAACTGTTCCAGTTTTACAAATAAAATTTAAATATTTTTTAAGATTATTTTTATAATACTATTTTTAGAATAATATTATACCACGGCCATATTTGCCGTATAAATATAAATTGTACATGATTGCATGTATGACTATACATATACATATGTGTGATTGTATGATAATTAAATTTATTAAAAACAATCATTTATCTTTTGAATAAATTAATTCCTATAAATTAATGATATAAAAATAAACGAATATGTTGCTGATAATATTTCTATGTAGACATATATTTTAAGTTAGACATATGTATTAAAAAAAGAAAAAACTTTATGTATGTATGGGGTCTATTTATTAAAGTAATAAATATCTGTTTACAATTGTGACCTTGCTTTATATTTTTATGATACATTATAATTAAGTATTTCAGAACAAACAGTACTGTAATATTGAGACATAAAAGATATAAATTTACTTTCTATAATACAAACTTTTTATATTTACTTTATATAAGTTAAATATTAGAAATAAATATAAATATAATAAGTAAGAATATGGAAGAAGCAGCATTAAATACATTTTTCCAAAATACTGAAAATTACATTAAAAATGAAAATGCTTCTTATAACTCAAATTTACATGCTTTAAATATAGTTAATAATATAATACCTCTAAAAAATAGTAACAAATCTACATCAATAAAGCAGTAAGTAACAGTTATCACTTACAAATATTCATTAGCTATTATAAATTATTATAACTATATTTATAAACATTAATTTAATTTCTCATATTTTTTAGAATAAATGAATGTTTCAAAGAATTAAGAATACAATCTTCCCTAGAGCATAATGAAGAAAAATATAAATATCTTGCTGGAGAAATAAAAAATATTATTGAAGCACTTCATACAGTGGTTATAAAACCATGTTCTCTACATAATCTTTTATATCTTGGAACCCCATTATTTTTAATTCACACAAATTTCCAAAACAAATCAAAATATATACTGCTGGGTTATATAGATGATATTTTTGGGTCTATTGGAGACCCTATGTATTCTGTAACTATAAAATGTAATGCAACAGATGTATTGAATATTAATGCACAAGTATATTATTTTTCTAATAATCCAAATACATTACACATGTATATAGAACATACAATAGATAAAATGTCTAATGAAAGAAAACATAATATTAAGACAACAAACTTATCACCACAATAATATAGTTCATATGTAATTCACTTTTGATTTCCATTTTAATTACTTGCTTTAATATATTTTTATTTACATATGCTGGCATATTTTACATACTTATTTTTCATAGCATTTATAATTTGTAAACATTAATATATAAACAATAATTTAAAATTTTGTAAAAATAATTAATCTTATAATAAATTGTTATTATTGACTTACTTCTGTTCAATATTTCCCTAGCTAGAATTAATAAATGATAATAAAGTACCTAATAAAATATGAAATGAAATGATTCATTGTAGTTTTCTGTTCCTATTTCTAAAATAAAATTAAAATTGAGACACAAAACTCCCTACAATAATAGGTCTTAATAATCTAAATTAACAGAGAGGAAAGTGACTGTAAAATAAATACATGTTTATTGTTCTTAAAATTTTATTAAATAAAAAATATATTTATGATTATTCACCAGTGGGCATAGATTTTATAATATCAGAATTTCCAGGGTCTGTAATAGAAAGGGTACATACACGGAAATATTTTCCACATGCAGTGCCCAATTCTATATTATTTCCAACATAATGATGCACACCAGTCTTTGCCAACATAGCATAATATTCTATCTCCGATTTCCTGTTAAACAGATGAAACAAATATCTGTAATTTATAATTTACTAATATAAATATGAGATGTCTCTGCACTTACAAGCAGAGACGTGAGACTACTCCGTAGAACTCCTACTAAGAGTATACAAATCAACATGAAACATATCATATCTACTAATGATCTAAGTAAAATATTATTTAAAAGTTCTCATTTCATATTGCTTTGTAATTATTGAAGGAGTACTACATCTCAGTCTCACCTTAAAGGACCAGCATTATTAGCAATGATGACTAATTTTGCTTTTCCTTGCCGAAGAGACTTCAATGTCTGCTTATAACCCAAGACATATTTGCCTGATTTCATAACTAGAGCCAATCTGGAGTTAATACCCTCCTGGGACTTTTTCTATCAACAAATAAAAACAAATACATAATAAACTCGTAAGATTAACCTCTATAAAATTCAAATATAATCAAATGGTTATTTAACCATGCTTATACAAAAACTTAATTTTAAAAAGACGTAGTGGCATAATAAGAGAATTAATTTTATATTTACGCATCATTAAATTACCTTGATTATATTTAGACTCGCAAAATAATTTTAACACGTGCTTCGAAAACTTAGTAGCATATGAATACAATTTAAAAAGAATATTTACCTGCTTCTTCTGAGCTACCATCTTTATCTTTTAGCAAAATCCAATGCTGAAACAAAAATTTATATTTATTAATAAAAT